TTAGTGGAGACCATGGTAGCTGAAGCAACCTCCCAACCAGATAGTCATGTAAATTGTTACTGATAACATTGTCTGTTCCTGGGAAATGCCTGCCTAAGGGCTATAGGGATATCCCAAACTGAATAAAAGGATGGCAAGGCCTGAACACAAGCTGAGTCCTTCCTCTGTGTTGGGCTCCCGCCTGGCCCCCAATTTGTGCACTTGGAGGGGGTTCCCTCAGCCTGGCCTGTGCCCTCTTGCAGTCTGGGACCCCTCAGGGGATGACCACCTGCTGGCTTAAGCCTGCTCCCCAGGGATTGGGCCTAAGCTGGCAATCAGACATCCCTCTGGCAGCTCGGCAGCCCTCGGGGGATGTCCATTTGCCAGTGGGGAGCAGACCTAAGCTGCAGTCAGACATCCTTAGCGCTGCTGAGGAGGCAGGAGAGGCTCCCACCACCACCGCTGTACTGGCAGCCATCAGCCTGGCTTGTAGCTGAACAGAGGTTCCCCATGTGAGAGTGCACTGACCACCAGAGGGCAGCTCCTGCATTGAGCGTCTGCCCCCTGGTGGTCAGTGTGTGTCATAGTGACCAGTTAGTTATTCCCAGTCTTTCTGCTGCTAGGGTCAGTTTGCATATTACCCTTTTACTATATAGGATAGAGGCCTGAAGCTCCCAGCCTCTCCTTTTTTTTTTATTCTGGGATTTACTTACCTTCTATAATTGAAACTCTGTTGCCTTCACTGGCGCTCCCAGCTCTGAGGCCGCGGCTGGCTGAAAGCAGTTATCTGGGATTTGTTTAGCTTCTATAATTGAATCTTTGTTGCTTTTGGAGCTGTTGCTTTTGGAGCTTAGAGCAGGCTGCAGCAGGCAGGGAACCTTGGCTTTCTCCATCACTGGAGCAAGCAAACCTCCTGCTCACTTCAGCTGCGTGGCTGCCGGCCGCCATCTTTGTTGGCAGTTAATTTGCATATCTCGCTGATTAGCCAATGGTAAGCGTAACAGAGGTCGGGTTAATTACCCTTTTTGTCTTTTATTAGATAGGATAGGCAATATTTACTTTGCTTGCCATTTGACATGCCTCATAAAACACAAAATCAATTTTATGCTAAAAAGGATTGAATTTCACAAGTAGAGAACACATTGTCACAATTCCAAGTTCTCTTCATAGTCCTAATAACTTGGTGTTGACTCCTTATTCCTATCATCATTATTGGTTGATTCCTTTTATCATCATGGGCTCTATTATTGCTATTTTTTCTTCATCAAGTCTCAAATTTATAAAACTACTTTAAAAGTGAAGCAATTATTGATTTCAGGGAGGAAGAGAGGGGGAGAGAGAGATGGAAACATCAATGATAAGAGGGAATCATTGATTGGCTGCCTCCAGCATGCTCCACACTGGGGGTTGTGGGAACCCAGGCATGTGCCCTGACTAGGAATTGAACCATGACCTCCTGGTTCATAGGTCCAGAGGGGGTTGTGAACCCAGGCATGTGCCCTGACTAGGAATTGAACCATGACCTCCTGGTTCATAGGTCCAGACTCAACCATTGAGCCACGCCTTCCAAGCATTGAAGCAATTTTACAAAACATTTCCACAATGCAGGGGAAAGATTCTGATCTATCACAAACTCAAAGAACAATAGGGGAGTCACAGGGTTTCTGACATTTTTAAAATTTCTTTTCTTCTTTTACATAAGTTTCTCTCCCCACAGCTCCCCAACTGAGTACTGACTTGTTCTCATATACTTTGATTTTTTTTAAAAATCAAGTTACAGGATTGGTATGACTATTGTCTTGAATGCATAGGTTCTTTTTGAAGTAGTTTCATCACTATATTCTACTGATAAACTTATCACAACTAAGTTCTTCTATCAGATAACCAAATGCACTCAGAGCTACAGTAAATGTTAAAATATCAAAATCCATCCTCAGAAGATTCTGCTGGTAGCCAGCATTGAAGGAAATAGGCCTCTGTGATCCATCTTCAGCATAGTCAACTTTTAGAGCAAACTAACAGCATGTGGCCAGTCGTTATTGTATTTTTCTGGGGCAAACAGTACGTGGGGAGGAGGGGAGAGGGTATAAGAACAAAGAACTGTGTATGTGACCAGTAGCACATTTTCCAGGAAGATACGCCTGCTAAACCAGACAAAGGGAGGTGGAGACAACTACAAAAGGCCTCAGCCCATTTTTTTTTTAATTAATTCATTCTTTCATCCGTTTTTTTAATATATTTTATTGTTTTTTTACAGAGAAGAAGGGAGGGGGATAGAGAGTTAGAAACATCGATGAGAGAGAAACATTGATCAGCTGCTTCCTGCACACCTCCTACTGAGGATGTGCCCTCAACCAAGGTACATGCCCTTGACCGGAATCGAACCTGGGACCCTTCAGTATTGTTAACAGTATTGTTAATTTAAAAAATTTTTTTTGATTGATTTTTTTATTGATTTCAGAGAGGATGGGAGAGAGAAAAAGAGATAGAAACATCAATGATGAGAGAGAATCATTGATCAGCTGCCTCCTGCATACTCCACACTGGGTATCAAGCCTGCAATCTGGCATATGGTCTGACCAGGAATTGAACCATGATTTCCTGGTTCATAGGTCGACACTCAACACTGAGCTACACTGGCTGGGTCCAGTATTGTTCATTATTATTGCCATGATGAACATTAGATCCTCAGAATCTATTCATCTTACAATTGAAGGTTTGTTCCTTTGGCCAACATTTCCCCATTCCTCCCTCTTCATCCATGCCCCTGCCAATTCTACTTTCTGCTTCTATGAGTTCATTTTTTTTAAGATTCTACATATAAGTGGTATCATATAGTATTTATCTTTCTCTGTCTGATTTATCTCACTTATCATAATGCTCTCAAGGTCCATCCATGTTGTTCTAAATGGCAGGATTTTATTCTTTCTCATGGCACGACACTATTCTATTGTGTGTGTGTATAAAGTTCTATATCTATCTATCTATCTATCTATCTATCTATCTAATCACATCTTCTTTATCCATTCATCTGTACTCAGAAATGTACCCGAGAACAGCCACACTGCGAGCTGGAGATGCCGCTGCGCCCTGCTGGCCCGCCCCTGGCGTGGGGCCAGGCTTCCGTGGAAACACGCCTCCCCCTGAAGGTGGCCAACGAGCCCAGCTTGGCGTTCACCAAGGGCAGCCCTGAGCGAGATGCACTGCAGAAGGCCTTGAAGGACCTGAAGGGCCGGACCGAACCCATCCCATGCGTGGTGGGGGATGAGGAGGTGTGGACCTCAAACATGCAGTACCAGGTGTCGCCCTTTAACCATGGACACAAGGTGGCCAAGTTTTGCTATGCAGACAAGGCCGTGCTCAACAAAGCCATTGAGGCCGCCTTGGCCGCCAGGACGGAGTGGGACCTGAAGCCTGTCACAGTCCGGGCCCAGATCTACCTGAAAGCAGCAGACATGCTGAGCGGGCCGCGCAGGGCAGAGGTCCTTGCCAAGGCCACGGTGTGACAGGGTAAGACAGTGATCCAAGCGGAGATCAACGCGGCGGCTGAGCTGATCGACTTCTTCCGATTCAACACCAAGTTTGCTGTGGAGCTGGAGGGGGAGCAGCCCATCAGCGTGCCGCCCAGCACCAACAGCGTGGTGGTGAGCGTGCCCGCCTTTAAAAACCTGTGGAAGCAGGTAGCCCAGAACCTGGATCGCTTTCGCACCTTCCCACGCCTGGCCGGAGAGTGCGGTGGGGAGAACTTCCACTTTGTGCACCGCACAGCGGACGTAGACGGCGTGGTGAGCGGGACCCTGCGCTCAGCCTTCGAGTACAGCGGCCAGAAGTGCGCGGCCTGCCCCCGCCTCTACGTGCCTCACTCGCTGTGGCCTCAGATCAGAAAGCGGCTGCTGGAGGAGCACAGCAGGATCAAAGTGGGCGGCCTTGCAGAAGACTTCGGGGCCGCCTTCTCTGCAGTGATTGATGCCAAGTCCTTTGGTCGCATCAAGAAGTGGCTGGATCACGCCCGCTCCTCGCCCAGCCTCACTGTCCTGGCGGGCGGCAAGTGGGACAACTCTGTGGGCTATTCGTGGAGCCCTGCATTGTGGAGAGCAAGGACCCTCCGGACCCCATCATGAAGGAGGAGATCTTTGGGCCTGTGCTGACCATGTATGTCTGCCCAGGCAAGTACAGGGAGACACTGCGGCTGGTGGACGGCACTACCAGCTACGGCCTCACGGGGGCAGTGTTCGCCCAGGATAAGGACGTTGTCCGGGAGGCCACTGAGATGCTGAGGAACGCTGCCGGCAACTTCTACAACAGTGGTTCCCAAACTTATTTGGCCTACCGCCCCATTTCCAAAAAAATATTACTCAGCGCCCCCTGGAAATTAATTTTTTTTAAATTTTAATAGCAATTAAAAAGAAAGATATATGTATTAATGTTTCTACCTTTTTCGTAAAATATAGTAAAGAAAGGTGTAAATTAGAAACATTGAAGTTTGAAATTATGAAACTATTTATTGAACTCAGAATAGAAAGGTAATACAAAAAAAGTTAAAACAAATGCACCTGTGGCCATCACCGCCCCCTGGATCGCTGCAGCACCCACCAGGGGGCGGTAGCGCCCACTTTGGGAATCACTGTTTTAATAGATAACTGATAGAAAAATGTGTTTGCAATATCTAAAAAGAAGAAAAGTTAATATAGAGACAATACAAAGAACTCATTCAGATCAACAAAGACAAAACAGAAATCCCTATAGAGAAAAGAGCTCAAGATGTGAACAATTGCCCTGGCCAATGTGGTTCAGTAGGTTGGGCAATGTCCCGTGGTTACTGGTTTGATTCCCAGTCAGGGCATAACCCTCCTGGGGAGATCAACCCTCCAGTAGGGGGCATGCAAGAGGCAGCCAGTCGCTCTCACATCAATGTATCTCTCTCCCTTCCTCTCTCTCAAAAACTCAATTTTAAAAGTAAATAAAGAAATATTTAAAAGAAAAAAATGTGGCTTTCTCGGGTCCTGTTTCCAAGGTGACCAAGAAAAGAAGGAATAACAGTTGTGCCATAAAAGGCCGAGGTCATGTGCAGCTTATGCATTGCACCAACTGCGCCCGGTGCGTGCCCAAGGACAAGGCCATTCAGAAGTTTGTCATTCGAAACGTCGCAGAGGCCGCAGCCGTTAGGGACATCTCCGAAGCCAGTGTCTTCAACGCCGACATGCTTCCCCAGCTGTATGTGAAGCTGCATTACTGTGTGGGCTGTGCCGTTCACAGCAAGGTCGTCAGGAACTGTTCTCACGAAGCCTGGAAGGACTGAACACCCCACCCTGATTTAGACCTGCGGGTACTGCCCCACGACCTCCACCAAAGCGCATGTAAGGAGCTAAGTCTTTTTTTAAAAAAATATATTTTATTGATTTTTTACAGAGAGGAAGGGAGAGAGACAGAGAGTTAGAAACATCGATGAGAGAGAAACATTGATCAGCTGCCTCCTGCACATCTCCTACTGGGGATGTGCCCGCAACCAAGGTACATGCCCTTGACCGGAATCGAACCTGGGACCTTTCAGGCCGCAGGCCGACGCTCTATCCACTGAGCCAAACCGGTTTCGGCAAGGAGCTAAGTCTTTAAAGAGTGAAGAAAAGTTCTGTGGGGGAAAAATAAATGGAAATTGTACTTCAAAAAAGAAAAAAAAATGTGAACTATTTGCAGAAGAAACACACAAGTTATCAAATATAGGATGAGTAGCCCCACCAGTGGGCTCAGTGGTTGAGCGTCAACCTATGAACCAGGAGGTCATGGTTCAATTCCCAGTCAGGGCATATGCCCGGATTGGGAGCTTGATCCCCAGTGTGGGGTGTGCAGGAAACAGCCGATCAATGATTCTCTCTCATCATTGATGTTTCTATCTCTTTCTCCCTCTCCCTTCCTCTCTGAAATCAATAAAAAGAATTTTTTTAAAATTATATAAGAGGAGTAATCAAAGAAATGCAAATGAAAACAAGGAGATGACCTTCACACCTAGTACACTGGCAAAATGCAGGAAGCTGGTGGTGGGGACGTGGGGACTCAGGAACCCCACGCACTGTGAGTGGAAGTCAGCCTGGGACAGCCATTCTGACTGTCCTGTCCAGCTCTCAGAAGCAGTGGACTACACCGGCTCAGAGAAACACAGGGGGGTGTTTAAACATAGGGGGATGCTTGCTCAAACAATAGGGTAGGTACCTCAGTTTCCAGATTGAGACCTGGAAACTCACATAAATCACCCCCTTATGTTGCCAGCCCACATCACAACGGTTATTCTCCTGTGTCTGAGGACCAGAACCACAAAATTGCTTTCCTTAGCTCAGTGGCTCCGCGAACTGAAACTATAGATAACCTTTAGAGCAGCGGTTCTCAACCTGTGGGCCCGGCTTTGAAATAAATGTGGCTCCTTAATTCAACTTCTTGAGGCGTCCTTGTGTGATTCACAGGGTACATTACAATACCTAGAAGCTCCTGGGGCGTCCCCATGGCTGCCTTGCAGGGGTGTGCCCCGTATGGAGATGGAGGTTTGCCCAGACTGAGGAAGCTACCAAGCAGACGCCCCAAATAGGCCTGGTCCTTTGGAGCTTCCTGTACTTACCCTCTACTGTCCCCTGTCCCCACATACAGTTTCCTGACACCGGGCCCTCGCTCACAGAGTGCCCTTTGCATACCTCAGATTTCTGTTGCAAATTCTATCCAACGTTTATCTAGCAAATGCACTTAGCCAGACCCTGTTCTGAGCACTGGGATAAGGACTGAGGGTGAAGTGGTTCCTGCCCACAGGGAGCACAGCGGTCAGGGCAGAGCTGCCTGTCTCAGCCAAGGGATAGACAATGAGGTCCAAGCTCATAGGACATCAGGGAAGGGAAAGGTCACTAACTAGGCTCAGGAAACTTTCTGGTAAAGAACACAAGAGGGTTGGGCTGTGAACTATGGGTTGGAGTTCATGAACCCACAAAGGGCAGGGGTGTCTGGAAGGACAGTGAGGGAAAGGGGTTCTTGGTATCCTGGGTTTCTGCAGCAAACCTGGGAGAACAGGCCTGGCCTTACACTCACCCTGCCCTTCCCTCCCCCACTGGGCTGACCGTTGGAGATGCTGTGAGCACTGCAGCAGGCAACTTCCACAGACCTCAGGACGGAGTGCAGTGACCGAAGACACAGTAAGAACAGAACACTGGGAGATGGGGAGAGAGACTCTGTATTTTCCCCTTCTCCCCACCTGACCCCACCCCAGCCCCAGCCACCATCAAAAAAGGACCTGACCCTGAGGGCAACATTTCAGCCCTTCTCGTCATCCTGCTGAGGTTCCTAAGATGGGGAGAGAAGAGAAAAAGAAATATTAATAACAATAATGATGACAACAACTCCATAAGCGTTTCTATCAGGCTTACTGCGTGTCAGACAACATTCTAATACTTTCCATGGGTTACAATGCCCGCTCGTGTCTCCTTGCCATTTTCCAGACACATTCCCATCACAGGGCCTTTGCACATGCTGCTCTCTCTGCCTGGAATACTTTCTACCCACATGGTTCGATCCCTTCTTTCAAGTGTTGGCACATCACCTTCCTACTGAGATCTTCCCTGGCCACTCAATTTAGAGTTGAAAAACCTTCCAGCACTCCCCATGCCCCTTTCCTGCTTCACTTTTCTTCTCACCACTTATCTCCTTCTAAAATGCCTTCACTGGCCTATGTGTTGGTCATTGTCTGTCTGCCCCATGAGAATGTCAGTGCCACTAAGGCAGGTGTTTGCATCTGTTTTGCTCACTACTGTTTCATCCTTAAGGCCTAGAATCAAGCACATAGTAGGTACTCAGTAAAAATTTGTTAGAAATATGAAATCCAATGAGACAAAAGCTATCATACATAGTTTCTGCTTTACCGACAAGGAAACTGAGGCACAGAGAGGCTCAGTTGGTATTTGCAACAGCCAATAAGTAACAGAGCTGGGGTGCAAAGCCAAGCAGCACAAGAACAGGCATATAGACAAATGGAACAGAACAGAGACCCCAGAAATCGACCCAACCCATTATGCTCAATTAATATTTGACAAAGGAGGCAAGAGCATACAGTGGAGTCAGACAGTCTATTCAACAAATAGTGATGGTAAAATTGGACAGATATATCCAAGAAAATGAAACCAGACCACCAACTTACACCATACACAAGAATAAACTTAAAACGTATAAAAGACTTAAATGTAAGTCACAAAACCATAAAAATCCTAGAAGACATAAAGCAGTAAAATCTCAGACATCTCTGTAGCAATATATTTTTTTTAATAATTCTTTATTGTTGAAAGTATTACAGATGTCCCCTTCACCCACACTGACCTCCTCCAGCCGCCCCAGCCCCACCCCAGGCCTTCACCACCCTATTGTCTGGGCCCATGGGCTACGCATATATGTACACACGTTCTCTGGTAGGTTATCTCCCACCCACACACTCTCTGCCACCTTCCCTCCGAGACGCCGCACTCTGTGCTATGTCTTGTAGCAGTGTTTTTTATGATATATCTCCTAGGGAAAGGGAAACAAAGGAAAAAAAACATATGGGAGTACATTAAACCAAAAAGCTTCTGCGCAGCAAAGGAATCCAACAACAGCCCTAGTTGGTTTGGCTCAGTGGGTCCCGGGTTCAATCCCGGTGTGTTTCTCTCACATCGATGTTTCTCTCTGTGTTTCCCTCTCTCTTCCACTCTCCCTAAAATTCAATGGAAAATGTCCTCAGGTGAGGATTTAAAAAAAAAAAATCTGTCAACAAAATGAAAAGGGAACCCACTGTGTGGGAGGACATATTTGCTAATGATACATCTGATAAGGGCTTAAGTTCCAAAATATAATAAAGAACTTACACAACTAAAAATCAGGAAGACAAACAATCCAATTGAAAAATGGGCAAAGGGCCTGGTTGGCGTGGCTCAGTGGTTGAGCATCGACCTATGAGCCAGGAGGTCATGGTTCGATTCCCCGTCAGGGTACATGCCCAGGTTGTAGGCTCCATCCCCAGTGTGGGGCATGCAGGAGACAGACTATCAGTGGTTCTCTCTCATCACTGATGTTTCTATCACTCTCTCCCTTTCTCTTCTTCTCTGAATAAATAAAAATATATTTTTTTTAAAAAGGAAAGAAAGAAAAATGGGCAAAGGACACTTCTCCAAAGGGGATATACAGATGGCCAATAGACATATGAAAAAAAAATGCTCAACATCACTAATCGCCAGAGTCAAGGAAATTACAACCACAATGAGATACATGCCAGAATGGCTACTCTCACATCTGCCAGAATGGCTACTGTCAATAAATCAACAAACAAGTGTTGGTGAGGATGTGGAGAAAAGGAAACCCTAATGGAGAAAAGGAAACTATTGGTGGGAATGCAGACTGGTGCAGTCACTGTATGAAGTTTCCTCAAAAAATTAAAAATGTAAATGTCTTTTGACCCAGCAATCCCACTTCTGGGAATATATCCTAAGAATCCCAAAACACCAGGATAAAAGAAGATGAAAAGAATAGCCAAAGAACATATACACATCACCCATGAATGCAGACAATAATGTGGTTGGCTACACCACCTTATTGTCTGGGTGGAAGAAGGCAAAGTAGGGGAAATAGGGGATATCTATAATAATGTCAACAATTTAAAAAAAAGAAAGATATTCCAGACCTCATGTTATTTTGCCTCCTATAGAAGGTTCCCATTGGCCTGGATTAGGTCATATGTCCATCCCTGAACCAATCCCTGAAGCCCAAAGGAATGTAGTGCTCTAATTGGCCAGTCTTGAGTCATGTGCCATTATTGGAGATGGAGGTAGAGTTTGTCCCCCTGGTTGGGTGCGTTCAGGAGGCAACCAATAGATGGGTTCCTCTCACATCAATGTTTCTCTCTGTCTTTCCCTTCTCGCTTCCACTCTCCCTAAAAAATCAATGGAAAAATATCCTCTGATGAGGATTAACCAAAAAAAAAGAAAAAAAGAAAAGCAGTTAGTTACCTACAAGGGAGCACCCATAGGACTCTCAGCTGATTTCTCAACAGAAAATGTGCAGACCAGAGGGAATGGCAAGAAATATTCAAAGTGACGAATAGCAAGTCCTACAGCCAAGATTACCCAGCAAAGCTCTCATTTAGAATTGAAGGTAAAGAGTTCCATAGACAAGAAAAAGCTAAAGGAGTTCATCACCACCAAACCAGTATTATATGAAACTAGAGGCCTGGTGCACGAATTCATGCACCAGTGGGGTCCCTTGGTCTGGCCTGCGGAAGGAAAAAAAAGAATAATAAAATGTCAA